TGCTTGTCAACTTTTCAAGGTAAGAAAAAAATATTTCTTTGGCTAACCCCCCCCCCCCACTTTTAAAGACGATGCTTTGTGTCTGGCTAATTCGTATAGCTTTCTAGAAAGGGGGGGGGCTAACAGACCTTTTATAAAATAATTCATTATCTAAAAAAAAATGCAAACCGTTTCCTTCTTTTAAAATTTTTGAATACAGCGTGTAAGTTGATCACTATTTTGTTGGATTATCGTAATGTGTAGTCCGCGGAAGTTAGGCTAGTATAGAAGAGTTCCGATTTTGAGGGGAGATAACTCACTTTTGAAAATGGGGAATAAAAACAAGACATTTCTTGTAATCGTTACCTTCATTCGTAATGGCGATTGCATGATAAATGTTTTCATTTTAATAAAAAGGACCAGATAAAAGGAGAATATATATACTCTATGTGCTTTATGTACACGCGCTTTTGTGTTTTGTTACTTTTAAAACATTGTGATTTACTAAGTACAACTATGCGTACAATGTTACAAATAGGAAGTAATAAAAAAATTAGAATGGATACAGCAGTGTAATAGAACAAATATTGAAAAATGCAAATAATTTATGTTCTTTATGGAGCTCGATGTGTGGCAACTATTTTCCAAGACAACAAACTATGTTTACATTTCAAATTCGACTTCATGATTTTTAAAATTATTTTCCAAACACTAAGTTTCTTGTAAGATTACTTTTTTTTACCCAAATACATGTAAATGGCCATTATGAAAAAAAGAACATGATTATACATGTAACACAAGTGAACTTGTGATAAAAAATTTATTAAACGAAAGTCAAGCAGTAAAAAGTAAAAGTTTATATTTTGAAAAATAAATCAAGTGAAGACACATAAAACAAAGACAGGTTATAACGTTCACACACGGACACACACACAAACGTTTTGGTAACTCGGAATAGTCCAGAGATAAACTATATTTTTCTTAATGACGGAATGTCCAGTGCATCTAATTTTCACGTCCGGGATTGTCCACGGCGGATCTAAAACTAACTCTCTCACACAACATACGGGATTCACTCAAACTTCAATTAACACATTTACGCAATTATCACACATACAAGTCGGACACTCTTTGAGGTAGAGGATTGACACTAATTCCTTAAATAAATATTGAGTGACAAATTCCTTTTTACTGTCTAAACATTAATTGATTGATAAATGAATTGAAGCATATGTTAAAAACAGGTATTAAAAATAATTCTTTTTCTAAAATAAAATTGTTACATTTTAAAGTAAATTTAGTAAAATTTACTTTGTGACAATCCTTCCCCTCTCCGAGTAAGACTCTGTCCCAGAGTCTACAAATTAAAAATTAGTGAATAATATACATGTAAAATTAGATATACTTTATGATATTTGAAAGTTCAAATCATTTTGCAAAAAAAAAAAAAAAAAAGTCACTGATATTTCAATATGGAAATTAATATCCATAAAAGGGTTCATAATAGTCTGTCGGTATGGAAGGCTGTCGGGGACAGGATGAAAAGCGTTGTTGCGTAGGTTGATACACTATCCGAGGATACGATGATGCAGGATAGTTATGAGACGCAGCGTGTTGATCGGATTGTTTAACAATTTTCGGTTTCTTTTTCCTCGAGGATGCTTTAGCTTCTACGTGGTTGGGATGACCTGGCGGGTACCAAACTTTCCCTGTCCTGCGCGCTTCCATTGCTGGCATTTGTGTGGTTGCGTCGCTGACGTCCCTGGCCCTACAAGTATCCGTGTTGGTTCCGACACTTTTCTTCTGTAGAGGGATAGGAACAGTGGGTACTGGAGGCATCAACCTAATAAAACTAAGTTGACGCTCCTTTGCTACGAGCCGATCTGCCACGGATTGATGGGCTCCTTTCAACTCAAATATTTCTGTGTCCATTCTCCCGATTTTCTTTTCTAGGGCCTTGTTCTTCGTACGCGCGTCTGCGAGTCTGTCCTCCAAGTCCTCAACTTGCACCTTTTTTCTTTCCTTATCGTCTTTATTCTTTTTCCACGCGGCCGAGAGTTTACTCTCTAAAGATGAAAGTTTTTCTTCCTGGTTCACAACAGTTTTCTTTAAAATTCGTATTTTATCCGTTAATGTTGTGCTCTTGCGTTGTTGGTCACCGAAAGGCTTTGTAGACAGAGAGTTTATCGCGATTACAAACTCAGTCTGTGATTCGATGCCGTAAAACGGTAATTCCATGGCGGATGAGCGTCTAGACTGAAATTCATTCCAGCGTTTCTGGTCACGTTCTGTTTTGTGGACTGACTTCTTTTTCACAATAAGTATAGTCACTTGCTTTGTATTAGAGTTTCTGCACTGTTTAGAAAGATGACCAAATTGCTGACATCTAAAGCACTGTCGATTCATTGCCTTACACTTGGTAAGATGTCCCTTGTAAAATGATTCTCCACAGCGATAACACATTGAGTTTGACATTTTAAATCAAATTTGGGGAAAGATAGTTATAGATAAGTTAAACTTTAGATTTAAACTTTTAATGTAACACATGTACTTGTATTATTATGAAACGAAATTAATCGTCAATCAGGCATGTAGACCCCCCCCATCCCCCCTCATTTTCGAGTATAGATTTTGCTATAGTAAATTTTCCTTTACATGCTGGTTGACCCCAACCCCCAATTTTTAACTGTTGTTAGGTCGAGCGTAGGCAAATCCCAGGATATCGTACCCTTAAATTCTTAAAAATATATTTCAGGCACGTAGCATCAGAAGGGACCTGTCCCCTCTTTTTTATTGTTGTTGTTGTTATTTTTTTGCAAACAGAACCTATTTCCATTGTGAAATGTCAACTGAAAAGCCCCATTTTTGTTGCTGGATTGGAATTGAAGGTGCCTCGATCACTACCTCAACGAAATAAGATTTTCGAGATTTGACGCTTTACCTTTTTTTTTTCTGCTTGTTAATTAGAATGTTTGAATATAATTTGCCCCCCCCCCTCCTCACTTTAAAAAGCGATACTAAATGTGTATCAGCATTATATAATTTAAAATTGTTTAATTCCTTTATATGCATTTTACCTATTGAAAATAATCTACACAAGAAAAACAGAAATTCACATAAGTAAAACACTGTATAATTTTACTACGAGTTATGAAAAAAAAATGATGGATTCGTTTAATATTAAAATTAAAGTTGCGCAATTATTTGCTCGTTTTTTATTTTTTACTATTAACTTCTAAAAATGTATCGGGCAAATTCCACAACCCAGATGGCAGCAACATTCCTTCAAAATCTCTGAATGAATTGCTAGTAACCTTCAATCAAAAGGTATTATTGATGTGTCAAATAACTATAAATCGATTAGCGTACATGTGTCTTTCATTCCAGCACCAGCAGGGAGCCAGGAATCTCTCGAAATGAAAAGGTTGTGCATCCACAACCTTAATCATTACCATAGTACACACGGTGGGTGGTGGAGGAAAAGAGTTTCATTTGTTGTTAACTCTATTGCATTACCTCACGCTGTTTTAATTTATTTACCTTTACTATGATATTATCATTGTTTTGAACTTAATTTCAAAAGATATTGCTATACAGAGTAAATGACATAAAAAATCTAACAATTAAACACGCAACTGATAATATATATGCACCCCCCTCTTTTTACGTTTTCTATTCATGACTGTGTAGAATGTTTTTACTAGAGGGGTGTTAATTTATATGCATATTGTATACCTGTCAATTTTTAAATGTATAAAACACAGTGTGCATATTCTTGAGAGTCTAGCGTAATTCTGAAAGACTGAATCCTTTTTAAAAGATTGAATAAATATTTGTTAATTAACACATTACTCATCCTCTTGTTTTATAACGTCTCAAGCATCCAAGCCACACTGAGCTGTTCTCTAATGAATATTAATGAAATGTGCGCAATGAGGATGCGCCGTATATTATGTCGATGTTGTATTCTCACTTGTGCAGTTTTTGTTTTTACGTTTGTGTAATTTTCTCATTATATCGTGTAAATATTTTCTTGATTGTGTAGTTTTTGTATAGTTTGTGTAAATTTCAATAACTTTGTGTATATTTTCCGCACTTTGTGCAAGTTTTGACTTGCTCGTGTAATTTTTGTTTAAGGTCGTGCAGAAAATATTTTTGAACCAATCGGCGTGCCATACAATAACAATCAATATTAAATAAGAGGATTATTTTCGTTGTTTTCATTGGCTGAAAGGACGTCACATGACATTCCTCCTTTTGCGATAGCGACGTGAAAGCGCGTCCGCGGAAAATGATATTGCACGACACGCCGTTCAGTTGCACTGAAGTAACACAGAACGTGACGTCATAATAAAAGATAACCATTGTGACGAAATGACAGTCAAGTCCGTTGTGTTAGGACTGTGTCGGTGCATTCACTTTGAGTGATTATATAATATAACTATTATGGACTTCAGTGAACGGTCAATATGAGGTTATAAGGACTCATGGCAATTGATATTGACCTCAGACACAGAAAATGATAGCGACCTCGCAGGCTCGGTCGCTATCACTTTCTGTGTCTTCGGTCAATATCAATTGCCATGAGTCCTTATAACCACATATCGACCTACACTGAAGTCCATAATTGTATTAATATTGGACTTATAATCTTTCGTGCACCTCCTCAACTACAGTAGATGTTTCATAAGGAATTTCAATAGTACAAACACAAAAGGCATAATTCTGACCATCGGTATTCAAAATAAATGTTAACTTGAAGATCTAGAAAAATAAAACGACGACAGTTTTTACTGACTTTAATTTTGACAAAATATTAAAGGACTCTACTTTTTGATAAAAGGGGTGCTGATCTGCTTTGATGAGATGAACTTATTTAAACATGGATAGATCCTTATGATTTTATCTTGTATTAGCTATAGTTAATCTTAAAGATTTATAAAGAGTAATGCAATATTGTTTTCCTATCTTCCTTGTAACAAACAATTCAGAAGAACAAGTAAATATCTACACAAACAGGAATGACTCCTTGTTGTGAGAGGTACAATATACATCTACACAAAGCTTGCAAAAATATTTTACTTTATAAGATTTTGATATGAAAATTCATAAAAAGTTGAAAGTTAACAGTACTTGATGCCAGCTTTTGTACGTGACAAGTCAGATTTATTCAAAGGTTTTTACTTGCAAATGAAACAGTACAATTGTAAAAAAAAAAAAAAAAAAAAAAAACATTGTTTCAATATGCATTTCTTTTTTAAGATTTAACCCTTTTCATGTCTGATTTTAAAATATATCTTTTTTTTATCTGATTCATTTTAAAACCCTGATGAATACATATTTATGGGTATATGCGTATATACATTTCGGCCTTATGGTGTATAGAATAGAACGCTGGGTAAATCCTCAAACCTGGATAACTAATAGTATATAATTTCTACTGACTGCGTCTCTTCCTTATGAATGTTTTCTGACAGGTGAATGCCCTTTGGGACTGGGTTATCCCCATTCTGAGAACCTTTCTAGATAACATTCTTTTGAGGACTCCGTGTAAAATATTAATATGAAGAGATGTCAGAAATATGCATAAAGTTTTAAAAATTGAAAGGGGAATTCATTTGATGATAATCTATTTACTTTTTTAACAAAAGTTTTGCAGAGTTGATGAGTGATAAAATGTCCATAAATGATCCTTAGGTGATTCACTTCCCCCCCCCCAACTGAAAAAAACCTTAGAATTATTAATCTGAAACTAAGAAAATGGCTGATTTTCTTTCATATTTAATAATTTTTAGCCGTCTGTTTGCCGTACAGAATGCTTTAGTACGACAGGACGGGAGAGTACCTGAACTCCTCCATCGTCTGTTAGAATTCCTGACACCCTACCTCTCCCACAGGTATAAGAATGTCAGGGACAGGATTGGAAGGTATGCTCCTGATGTGGAAATTTGCTCATGATACTTTGTGAATTTCAAAGCCTTGTCTAATTTTCTCCCTGTATATATTTTAATATTTTTAATGTATAAACCAGAGAATTGATTAATCTGACTAATGTCCACGTAACCAGTGGTAGCTGGATTGAACAAATTTTACTGTATATAATGTTTCAATTTCTAGGTGATATTTTTAATGGAACACTTTTTTAAAAGTCGATTATCATCATTTATTCCTCTGTTTAAGCCTGATGTCAAACATCATGTTTATGACTACAGCACCACGGCGGGTTCCTCCACTAAATCTCCACACGGAGTGGACTTTGTCAAGAAAGTGATTCGGCGGCTGGAACCACTCAAAGACCTGGTGCTATCAGACAATGGAAATAATGGCAGCTCAAAAGGTAGGTTTATATTTTATTAAGATTAAACTTGTAAAAGTCTGAAAAACTGTAATCATATATTGCATTAATAACATTATATGCCCCCAGATCGAAGGATCTCGGGCGTATATTGGTTTTATCCTGTCTGTCTGTCAGTTTGTTTTTCTGTCTGTCTGTTGTCAACTTTAACCCAGCCCATAACAATTGAGTGGGTTGGGCTATGGCTTTCATATTTCACAGGTGTATTCCTTGTGACAAGACCTTTCTTTGGGTACCACCAATTTGACCGCTTGACCTTGGAGTTTCACCTACTTTTACCAAAAAAAATACACACACTTTAACCTTGGCCTTAACTTTTGAACAGTTGAAGCTTTGGCTTTTATATTTCATGTGTATTTATTGTAACAAGACCTTTCAGCTGGTATAAATATTTTTGACCTTGACCGAAGAGTTTGATCCACTTTTTAAAGACTTTAACCTTGGTCATAACTTTTGAACAGTTAGAACTAAGGATTTCTAGTTCACGGATGTATTCCTTGTATGAAGTCTTTGAAGATGTAAATGTATTTGAATTTTTCACAGATGAGGAGAACCACAGAGAGACATCTTCCTCGTCAGAGAAGATGGAGGTGGAAGATGATGAGGATGAAGAGAGGAAGACAACCATAAGGCTGTGTAAAACAGGTGAGGGGGCTTACACCTCTCTGGATATACATGTAAATTAACAAAGAAAATGGTCTTATTTATAAAACATGAAAAGAATTATGATGGGTGGACTAATTCTTGATTTTTTGTTGCAGTGCTAAAGTGGATATCTGATGGTCTGGGTAGAATGTTTACCTCAACTACACCAGAGCTTTTCCTTTTTCTTCCAGTAGTAATTAAGGTCTTCCGACTTCCTTCGGAAGACCTTACTGTTTTTCTTCTGTTTTTTTTAGGGTCTTCCGTCTTCAGCGGAAGACCCTTCTATTATTCTTTTGTTTCTTTTTCAATTTTCTTATTAGGGTCTTCCGTCTCCAACGGAAGACCCTTCTATTATTCTATTGTTTCTTTTTCACTATTATTATTATTATTATTTTTTTTCGTCCAAATTTTGTGCAGACGATTTCTCAGAGATGCATGGACGGATTTCTTTGAAATTTTCAGAGATGATGTATCATGATCCAAACTTGATCCATTTATTTTTAATTTTTGAAAAATCACTTCCGGTCGGAAGTTATCGACCTTTAATCGAATTTTTAGTGACCATTTTGTCGACACAAAAACTCAAAAACGACAAAAGCTAGAATGTTGTCATTTTCAGGACTAATAGATGACATGTTGTAGTTTTGCACCTATACTTTCAAATTTTCGTCAGTGCTTCCGGTCGATATCGGAAGCGAATTTAAAAAACCGCAATTTTTCAACTTTTTTGTTTTCCAATATTTTTCTTTGATATTAGACATCTTAAAAGTGACTCTTTTGCGAATGCGAAATATGTAATTTGTTTTAGAATCGAAAAAGGCAATCTCGAGATTTTCGTATTTAAAAATTTGAAGCGGTGTTTTCAATGGCTGAATGGTTAGCGCGTCGGATTGTCACGCGGGCGACCCGGGTTCGCTCCCCCGAATGTCCAATTTTTTTTTATCACTTTTTCTGCAAGATTTTTCGTTTTTTACTTCAGAATCGGACGGAAGACCCACTCGTTGCTCGCAACGAGATCGTATCTAGTTAGGGTCTTCCGTCTCCAACGGAAGACCCTTCTATTATTCTATTGTTTCTTTTTCACTATTATTAAGGTCTTCCGTCTTCAGCGGAAGACCTTCTTGTTATTCGTTTGTTTCTTTTCCACTGTTTTTCTTATTATTTTTTTTCTCCCCGATTTTGTGCACGCGATTTCTCAAAAACGGCTCGTTATATTTTTATGAAACTTTCAGGTCTGATAGAACATAAAAAAAACTTGATGCATTTTTTTTCATTTTGATGACGTCACTTCCGGTTCGAAGATTTTCGCAATTTTGTGATTTTTAAGGGTCATTTTGTCCGTCGCTCTTCTTAAAAACCGCTCATCACAGGAAGATGAAACCTTTTCTGGAAGATAGAGCAACAAATGTAGATTTGCATTGTGTTGTTAAATTTCACCGGAAGTACTGCACGTTAACGCTCGGTATGGTCTGAAAAAAATCATATTGAGCGTTTCAAATTTTCTAACACTTTTTCTTTAATATCGTTTTACTTGTAAATATTTTGTTAAAACATATAGAACAAAAGTTGTGAAGAATTATAAGATCTTTCAAATGATACCTCGAAAAAAGGGCTGACCCCTAAAATAAGGGATCTAGAGGGGCCAAAAGATTTTACTTAATATCTCGAAAAGTATTGAGAATTTGTAATACTTCAAAGAAGCAAAGTTGTTCAAAATGACAAGCTTAATCAATGTGAGTCGTCAAAATACGTCCGGCATCATCACTTCCGGCCAAACCGGAAGTAGTCAAAAACGTGTATTTTTGCCGTTCTTATCAAGTTTTTGGGTAACATATGTCTCTGGGAGCAGAAAAATTAATTTTCCGTCCTTCGTCGTCACTTCCGGTTAAACCGGAAGTATCAAAAATTGCTTATTTTTGCATTTATGAACATAGCTTTAGAGGATTCAAACCATTTTTAGGCGTTATTTCTCATTTTTGTTGAAAATGAAAGCTACTTCCGGTCAAACAGAACGGAAGACCTTCTCGTTGCTTTGCAACGAGCTTTGCTCTAGTTATTATTATTTTTCTTCGTCCAAATTTTGTGCAGACGATTTCTCAGAGATGCATGGACGGATTTCTTTGAAATTTTCAGAGATGATGTATCATGATCTAAACTTGATCCATTTTTTTTAATTTTTGAAAAATCACTTCCGGTCGGAAGTTATCGACCTTTAATCGAATTTTTAGTGACCATTTTGTCGACACAAAAACTCAAAAACGACAAAAGCTAGAATTTTGTTGCTTTCAGGACTAATAGATGACATGTTGTAGTTTTGCACTATACTTTCAAATCTTCCGTCAGTGCTTCCGGTCGATACCGGAAGCGAATTTAAAAAACCGCAATTTTTCAACTTTTTTGTTTTCCAATATTTTTCTTTGATATTAGATATCCTAACAGTGACTTTTTTGCGAATGCAAAATATGTAATTTGTTTTAGAATCAAAAAAGGCAATCTCGAGATTTTCGTATTTAAAAATTTGAAGCGGTGTTTTCAATGGCCGAATGATTAGTGCGTCGGATTGTCACGCGGGCGATCTGGTATTATTCTTTTTTTCTGCACAAATTTTGTGCCGACGATTCCTCAGAGATCTTTCGATCGATTTGTTTCAACTTTTCAGGGTTGGTGCAGAATTATCTGAAGTTAATTCCGGCTGAAGGATTTTTTGAAAATCACTTCCGGTCTAGAGTTATCGCCCTTTTCTTAAAAATCAGACGACCTCCGTGTCTGTGATAGAACTCAATAACGGCTTAAGCTAGAGCGTTGAAATTTTCAGTGATAATAGAGGACATGTTGCCATGTTGCACCTGGGTCAGGATATTTTCCGGAAGTTTCTAGTATGGAAGCTCGGTAGGGGTCAAAATTTAGGACACGAATCATGACTGATTTTTTAAGACATTTTGCATCATATCTTTTAAAGTATAATTATTTTGTTAAAAGATACTGAATAAAATTTGTGCAGAATGACAAGATCTTTAAAATGATATCAAGAAAAAAGTGCTGACTCATCACATTAGGGGCCAAAAGGGGCTTAAAGTCTTTTTTCGATAACTATTTAACAGTCAATATTTTGTTATACATTACTGAAGCAAAAATGTTTATCTCAACAATCTACCACTGTATATTATGATTTTCATGTCGTATGGTACGTAATTAGGGGCCAAAAGGGGCCAGAGTGCTTAATCTTTGACGCTTTATATCTCGAAAGTGATAAATATTTTGACAAGTAATATTGAACAAAAGATGTTCAAAAACATGTTCTGAACAATATGCTATCTTTCATTTTTCGCTAAACGTCCCCATTAGGGAGTTGAAGGGTTGGCCCCTAAATATTTCTTTTGCAAATAACTCGAAAACGAAAAAGAATCTCTGAATAGTTGTTGAACAAAAAGTGTTCAAAATCTTAAGAGCTCCAAGATGAAATCCAGAAAAGGGGGCTGGGCGATCAAATTAGGGGCCAAAAGGGGCTAAAAGTCTTTTTTCGATAACTCTTTAACAGTCAATATTTTGTTATACAATACTGAAGCAAAAATGTTTAACTCAACAATATACAACTGCATATTATGATTTTAATGTCGTATGTTACATAATTAGGGGCCGCAAGGGGCCAGAATGCTAAATCTTTGACGCTTTATATCTCAAAAGTGAGAAATATTTTGACAAGTAATATTGACCAAAAGATGTTCAAAATCATGTTCTGGACAATATGCAACCTTTCATTTTCCGTTTAACGTCCCCATTAGGGAGTTATAGGGCTGGCCCCTAAATATTTCTTTTGCAAATAACTCGAAAACGAAAAAGAATCTCTGAATAGTTGTTGAACAAAAAGTGCTCAAAATCATAAGAGCTTCAAAACGAAATCCAGGAAAAGGGGCTGGGTACTCAAATTAGGGGCCCAAAGGGGCTAAAAGTCTTTTTTCGACAATTCTTCAACAGTCAATATTTTGTTATACATTACTGAAGCAAAAATGTTTAACTCAACAATCTACAACTGCATATTATGATTTTAAAGTTGTACATTACATAATTAGGGGCCACAAGGGGCCAGAAGGCTAAATCTTTGACGCTTTGTATCTCGAAAGTGAGAAATATTTTGACAAGTAATATTGAATAAAAGATGTTCAAAATCATGTTCTGAACAATATGCAACCTTTCATTTTTCGCTAAACGTCCCCATTAGGGAGTTGACGGGTTGGCCCCTAAATATTTCTTTTGCGAATAACTCGAAAACGAAAAAGAATCTCTGAATAGTTGTTGAACAGAAAGTGCTCAAAATCCTAAGAGCTTCAAAATGTTATGAAGAAAAAAGGGCTGATCCCTAATATTAGGGGCCGTGAGGGACCAAAACTCGATTTTAGAAGTCTTCATTGTTCAATGTCTTTTTACAGATAATGGAAAATCATTAGTTTAGAATGAAAATCTCTTTCAAAATCTTATCTCATCTCATCAAGAATCGAACGGAAGACCCACTCGTTGCTCGCAACGAGATCGTATCTAGTTATTATTATTATTCTATTTTCATAGTACAGCCGATATCTCAGCTATGAGTGGACAGATTTCAAAGATTTTCTCAGAGAAGATGAAACATGAGAATATCTCCAGACGTGTTTTTCATTTTTTCAAAATTCACTTCCGTTCGCGATTTTGGGGGATTTTTTGTATTTTTTAAAAGGCATTTTGTCCAGCAGTTTTCTCGAGAACGGTTAAAGATATGAAAGTGAAACTCACTGAGGTAATAGAACATCGAACTCCATTATGGGCAACGACCTTTATTTTTCGTCGTCGGCACTTCCGGTCGTAAACGGAAGTGAATTCAAAAAGTCACATTTCTCAATTTTTTTGTTTTTCAATATTTTTCTCTAGTATTTACAGCGTTTATAGTGTGTCTTATGAGAATTCTAAATATGTGTTTAGTATCTTGATGCGTGCATATATTGAAAAGATGTGACCAAACCAAAGTTTGTCCCACTGTCAGGAGTTCGAATCCCGCTGTGGGCGTTGAATTTTTTTTCTTTGTTTCTGTCTTTTTTCAGTTGCAAATAAGTTTTCTCTCTTTTTTAACATGTATGGACTATTTTGCCGATTTTTAAAAGCTATTTTTGAGATATTTTGAGGAATACATGTAATAATCATGAGATATGTTAAGAGGCTGCTGTAAATGAACGTAAACAAAAAAAAATACATTCTGAAACTTTATGGGATGACGCAGCATAGAATTCTAACGAAAATCGGTCGGAAGACCTGCTTGTTGCACCAGCAACAAGAACGCATCTAGTTATAAGTATTATTGTGAGGATTGCAGAGTATGCATTTCGGATCTCTTTTTAAATTCGTAAATACATGTATTTCAAGTATATGATAGTACATGCACATGTATTTAATCAGAGTGATGAAAAATATGCAGAAAAACTTTTTAGGTTTAAAATGACTTTTTGATATTAAGATTCATTTGATTTCCCCCTCAGATTTGCACGTTAGAGAGTGAGACTAAGGATGAGGAACTGAAGACTGATTGTTCTATGATCCTGGCCTGTTTCTCTCAGGCTCTGATTCAAGAGAACAATGTCCCTGTGTGTCTGGAGACCATCAGAGAAGTGAGTACAACTAATCACACAGAACTGGAGACTGACTGTTCTATGGCCCTGGCATGCTTCTCAAAGGCTCTGATTTAGGAGAACAATGTCACTGTGTGTCTGGAGACCATCAGAGAGGTGAGTACAACTAATCACACAGATTGACTGTTGTATGGCTCTGATTCAGGAGAACAATTTCGCGGTGTGTCTGGAGACCATCAGAGAAGTGAGTACAACAGAAACAGGGCTAAAAAATAGATATGAATCTGAAATTGAATTTAAATGTCATATCCTGTCCAATGGATACGGTCTAAAACACTGTTACAATTGTAGAAACTTCTCAGTAACACAAAATGTAGAATCATTATTTTAAGTTCATGGCATAAAGTAATTAGGCTCCCGCTATGGTAAGAAGATATATTGTTGAAGAATTTGATGTAGTGATCAGGATCTTAAGGGTCATATTAATTAAAATAATAGAGACTTTATTTCTTAACATTTCCTTGATTTCTGTACGTGATGGGACTAGAGTCCTGGCATTCCTGTGTAACGATCCTCGGTTACATCCAGGTCGTGGTGTTGTGTAATCTTTTTACCATGATCCAGACAAAGTACAAAAAGGAAATCCAGAACTTTATACTCCACCTCATCTGTGATGATCGTGTTTTCTATTAGATATTTATGCAATACATTTATTAACAACAAAGAGCTATATTCACTTTTCAAAAAAGGCCCTGCCCATATACCAATTAAATGACCAAGTCACAACAGCCCGAAACTAACAATAGTATAAAGATGAGACTTAGTACTTACATTCCGTTAAAACAAGTTTCTTTGCAAATCCAGTTATAGAACAATGGGCTTTGTGAAAATTGCAATGTTCTTGAAATTCACAGAGCCAAAATAGGCCTTTAGTAAACCTTTTTTTTTAAATGGAGTGTAGTAATTGCTTGTAAGTGTAAGAGGGATAGTTTCTCCTATGTGCAAAATGGAAGTGACTTAATTTGCATTGGGATCAGGGCAGTTTATATTTAGATAGATGTAGAATGCTACATGCCTTGATTTACAGTGGAAATTTTGACAACGTTATAATTTAGACTATATTTTTCCTCGAAATTCCACTCATCAGACATCATATTTACATGTATATTTAGCAAATGCAAATGACATTGTAGCATATTTACATACATTAATCATAATCATAATAAATACATAAAAGTGTCTTTGTATGATTATTATAATTTTAAGATGAATAAGTGTCACGATTTGCTGTAAATGATCAAAGATTTCACTTCAAATATTTGATTTTCCTCAGTTGTTTCTTCAAAAATTGAGCAACAAACAAATTGTCATTTGTATCTGTACACAGTCCCCAGGGTACACTCAGTCCACATTCTATGTAACGCAGGAACTGTCCATCCTGATCTATGATGTGGACACAGTCATTGTCAAAATCAGCTGTAAGGATGTGACTTTGACTGTCTGTGGTGATTCCTCGTGGATTGGGTGGTTTGTTCTTTGGAGCAGGAGTATGTCCAGTGTACCTGAATCTCAGTTTCCCGGCATGATTGACCACCACTACTGATCCAGCTCCAATATCAGACACACAGATATCCAGGTTCCTGTTCTCAGTAATATATCTAGAATCAACCGTATAGAGAGGTTTATCTTTTTCATCAAACTGAATGGTTTGTTTCTCTGTGGAGCCAGAGTAACGGACAACTTTTGTTTGTTTGTTACCGTCATTGTACATGATAAACACGAGGTCACCATAGGAGGTACTATACCTTTAGGTCTCCAGTTTTGTAGTCTGATCACCTCCTCTATCTTCTCATTCTTCACAATGTTCACAGTTCTTTCATTGTAATCGGTATAAACTAGATCTCCACTTTTTGTCACAGCTATATAAGATGGTGAGTTTCCTGACTTGGTTGTGATTGACTTGAGTAGTAATCCCTGACTGATGCTGTAGAGTTTCATGATGCTGCCATATCCACTTGTCCAGATTTCATCATCGCTCAGACAGGCCATATTGGCAAAGTAACTGCTATACCCAGTGTTGATGGTGGTGACAGTCTCTGGTTCATCAAGCAGCTGTTTGACTGGAGGAGAGGATCCACCTTCTAGTGATTTCTGTGACGTCTTCATACTGTATCCATGTTTATCTGAAGTTAAAGAACTTGATGATAACGCTCCAAACATTTTACTTAGTTCTTCTTGATGCATTTTTCCTGGAATGAATTTGGGTAAAGATGGTATAATTTTGTGTGGAAGATATCTGTATGTGTGTACATAGGATGATACACTTATTAGTTTTGACAAGTCATTGCTGTCTATTACAGTTTCCATTGAATCAATTTCATCCTTGATGTCAGACAATGTGTTGTTTATTTCATCCAGATTTTTCTGTAGAATTCGAAACTGTCTGTTTTTCATCTCATCAACTCCAGCTTTAAGTTTCTTGACAAGTTTGTCAATTTCTCTTTGCCAGTCCTCTCCATGTTTTGTTATGGTTGTTGAGAGATCTCCATATTCCTTTTCTAACTGATTCATTCTGTTTTGTACATCAGAGGCAATGTCCTGGTAGGTTGGGTAAATTGTCTTGTTTAATTCATTTCTTTCTTTCATAATAATGTCCTTCTTTTCATCCAGAACTTGCAATATTTTAGATAATTCATGACCTAAATGTTGTTTTGATGCTAGACAGCTAAGACAGACAGGAATGTCACATTGTTTACAGTACATTTCACATCGTTCTTTGTCATGAATTGTACATCCAGGGTAGAGTGGAGTGGATTTCCTGGCCTGAAATTTGACGACTTTGTGATCCTTGGATTCATCAGATATCATGTGTTTTCCTACACAAGCTGTACAAAGGTTGACAAGGCATGCATCACAGTGCATCTGTACCACAGCAGTCTCACACAGGTCACATCGCGTCACGTCCTGGGCACTGGTACGGGGGTCCATCATTAGATTTTGTGCCTGAAGCATAAAAAATTGATATATCAAGAATTAGAAACTATACATTTGAGAGCAACATGCATGTTTCTGACTCTAAAAACTACATTTTGCCTGAGACCATTAGGCAGATATATATTCACGTGCGAAATCAAGTCTTTATATTAATTTGCAAGGTTCACTGAATATTTGTGGGAAGGAAAATTTGTTTACATAGTTAAAGCCTGCAGTACTGAATTTTTAGCGACTTTCAGAATTGTTTTCATATGGACAGAAATACTCAAATGTTTCTTACCTGACTTCAGTAATGGCGGCTGTCCTGTTGATCGATTTCCAAGTGCAATCTGTATATACACACTGATCACTTGACACACCTGTGTTATCTACCTGTCAGGTGTTTATACTTCATGGTCTGGAGGGAGATTTAAATACCTCAAATAATTGCTCTTCAAAATACAAAATTTATTATATATAGTTCGTGTGATGTTTTTACATGATACTCTTTTGATCTACTTGACCAGAAGGATTATGATAGTATATTCCATTTAGGTTACTGTCATTTATCTGTCTGTATGTTAACAAGTAAAAAAATTCCTACAGTTTTGGCTTGATTTCAATTATGCACATATAATCTGGAACAAAAGTATACACTAGTACACTAAGATACATAATTCTATTATTTAGTATTTGATTTTGGCTAAGTTGCCAAAGTTTTTGAAAATTGAAATTTGTGTGAAACACCATTCCTCCTACAGTTTTATCCAATTCAATATAACTTGGCGACATATAGAATACACTGAAAAAAAAAAAATTTTATGTTTCCTTACTTTGATGAAAGGTGTTGCTAGGGTTCTTAAAAATTGAAATTTCTGCAAAAGTTTTCCCCCGTACGGTATTAGCCTGATAGCAATAAATTTTCTCACCAAAAAAAAAAAAGAAAAAAAAAAGGACTATCATTTTAAAGCTATTTATAAATAATTGTTGTTGCACAGTTTCAAATTAAGTCTCCTTTGTTTTAAAAATAAAAACCAGTAGAGCCATTTTCATTTTTAATCACGATAAAGTTCTTTAGTGCATATTACAATGTACACGTATACACAAAAAGTCATTTATTTTTTATATGTATTAAAGAATATTCATTTCTTTTTACAAATAACAAAATTAGTGACAGCGGTCTCACACAGGTTACATCACCAGATTCTGGACACTGATACATGTATGAAGGTCCATGTTTTCGCTAATCAGAATTTTGAATTAATTGCATGCAGCTGTTTAAAAGGAAAAAAAAATGTGTGTGACACCATTGAAACGAGATGAAAGCAGTCTTTTTCTGTTTTGCAATACTAGATGTAATTATAATAAATTGAATTTGTATTAAAGGTAAGAGAGATGGAAGGCATAACATTGAGTGGATTGGTACATTGTGGATTTCTGGACATGGAAAAAGATATGCTGGTAATTGTTGAATTTCTACAGACAAATGTAGTCTTAAATTATTTATATCTTATTATTTTTTATCTCAGAAACTTAAATGTGAAGTTTTTTGGTTACTAGGTAATATAAAAAAAAAACTTAAGTCATATTGTTGACACGAAAAAAAAAGTTCCCACACTGCTCAAAAGACCTTTCTTTTGCTAACACCAAATTTGACTTCTTCACTTTGGAAATTGACACACTTTTTCAACAGAGTTGCAAACTTTAACTTTCGACATAACTTATGAACAGTTGGCGCTAGAAATGTCATACTTAAGATATGTATTCTTTGTGACAAGACCTTCCATTGGATAGCAACAACTTTGACCCTTTGACTATGACATTGGAGTTTGGCCTTTTTTTGAAAATATTAACCTGAGCAACAACTTTAGAACAGTTAGGGCTAGAGCTTTTATACTTTTCATATGTAATTTTTGTGACAAACTTTTTTGTTTTTAGAAACAAACAACCATGACCCTTTGACCTTGACCCCAGAGTTTTACCAACCTTTATAGAAACTATAACATTAGTCATATATGTAACTTTTGAACAGATAATGCTAGGGTTTTATATTTCACATTTGTATTTTTGTCGAGAAGGTCTTCCTTTGGGTATCAACATGTTTGATTTGCATTGGCGAAAAATTAACCTTCGCTATGTTACCC